GGGGGGGGGGGGAGATGGGGAGAAGATAACAGGGTGCAGAAGTGGCAGGGGTTGGGGGGCAAGCTGCACCCATGGCCTGGACCCTGGCTAGGGGCTGGAGCCCAAACCATAGCAGCTGCCTGCCCCTCCCCCACCCTCATACACAACTGTAAGACAAGGGGCTCCCTGCTGTGTTAGACAAGGGGGGGAACCTCATCTTTGAACTGAATAAAGTAAATGCGTTTTAATCTAAACTGATTGTGCAGGGTGGAGAGATACTCAAAACAAAACGTGACACTTGTTGTGATGGGCAAATGGTAGATAGCGTGCCAAGGGCCAGGCAGCTGAGTGAGTATAGGGGCATTGTAGGCCACAGCCTAATCACTTAATGTGTCCACAACAAAGAAATGGCCTGACTTTTCCGTTATGTTCCTGACCTTTCAAAAATTCTTGAAATGTGCCTAAGTCTACAGTGCTTCAACACTTCATACGTTACCACACAGGATCATGGCCACTTTGCATGCAGCTCACTCATTTTGTCTGAAAATCCCCCCAGCTCACAGGTTATCCCTATGTGCTGTGCCACCAAAATCCAAAGAAATATCTAGGACCTAATCTGGCTTTGGAAAACATTTTTTGGTTTAAGAGCTCTGATAAAATTAAACTAACATAGTAAAGACAGAAGCAATTTCAAGTATTTATTAATGTAATCTAGGTTGGAACACTAGTCTTGTCACCTAACATGGACTTTCATAGCAAATGCACTAAATTTTACCCTCTTAGCAAATTCTTAAATGTTCATGAATTTATCTCATTCAATATAGTTTGCGTTCAAATGTCCTCTATCTCTCGTTCCTGTTGATGTTCTGTCTCAAAAGACAGGAAAATAAAACATTAAAATGGTAGCCTGAAACAAATCTTGTCAACACTGCAGAAGAATTAAGATTTTTTAAAAGTTTTTAGTAGTTTGGTTTAAGCATGAAGAAGGCTTGAACACATCAATAAAAATGAAAAACACATTTAAAACTCCTCAAAACAGAATTGCTCACAGCTGCTATTTTGACTAACAGTTTTGTCTTTTCTATGATAAAATAGTGGAATGTCTCTTTTCTCAGCCAAAATCTGTTATTCTAGGTTTGACAAGGTTTACCATAATCGCTGTACATTTTCTTCATTTTAAATCAAGTCTCCCTTTTCAATTTGTTTTCTGCTTCCTGAGATCTAACCTACAGAATTGCCTTTGTATCTGATCATTAATAAAATCAGAGAAAGTGCCTCACATAAGCAAGAAAAGTGCAAGGCAACAAACAGAAACTAATAAGCTATAATCAGCCACGCATCCTCCTATCACCTCTCAATCAGTCTAAAAATTCCTTGTTTTACTCATTTTTCAATGGGAAGTTACTTATTTTTTTCACCTGGATCTTTCTCAACATAATGTTCATGCCAGTTCTATCCACACCATCCTCTGCTTTCATGAAAAGTTAGCACTTGGACTCCTTTAACAGGGCAGAACAGGCATAGAAATATTCAGATGAAATAAGGAGAGAGAGAGAGAGAGAGAGAGAGAGAGATGGAGGGGGTGGGGAAAGAAAGAAAGAAAAGGAAAGTGATTCTAAGCTGGTTCCATAAGTTCACCCAGTTACAATAGCACCAAATCCCTCTGATGTTATTAAATACCCTCCTTGAATTCCCTCCAGTATAGGTGACGTTCCAACCATCTTTCATCACAGGTTGGCTCGTATAACAAAGCCTGTGGTTATAGGTCTAAGGCAGAGTAGGTAAAAGGAGGGCACTTACTTGTAAAACTTAATGGTGGGCTCCACAGCCAGCAAAACAAAAGGTGCAACAGTGTAACAGACAGCCAGTTGAGTGACAAGCCATGTGATAATGTCATAGATCACTTTGAGTGGCTCTGAAGAGAGGAAATAATGCCTGCAATTGTTCCTGATCTACAGTCATAAAGGAGGGGGTAGGGAAAGAAAGACAAAAATTCTTCATTTTTGTAACTGAACTCACAGACTTGTTTTATATCTGTTGCAAGCCTCAGATACCACTATTAATAATAGTTCTGCCATAACATTTAGGTACCTCAAACAAGTGCTGGGCTTCATTGTGCCACATACACATACCCCAAACAATTTAGTCTGGACAGTATAGACTAATGGCGAGAGGGAAAAGCAGCTTTGCAAAGGTGACATTGCGTGTGAGGTCAAAAAACAGGGCGATCATAGAATTCACTGTGCTGGCCCCAGCAACCCTACCTAAGGTCCTAAGGGCCTCCCAGAGCTGCAGCAGTGGCAATCCTGCCACACAGAGCCTGGCCAGCAGCAGAGCATGACTCCAGTCCCCCAGGCTCCTGTTTTGGGTGGCGCACACTGCCACTGCACATGAAGCTCTGCTTTTTTTCTCCACAGGTTTTTTTTGACTCCTGGGTATCTAGGGGTCCACAAAAAATCCTCTGTGCTGGTCCCTGGCAGACGTACGTGGTGTGCGGCACCACAGACATATCTGCAGTGCCACATACCACATGGCCATGCTAATCTGGACGTAGCCATAATGGGCATCTCAGGCAATTGGAGGTTTTTGTGAATGAATCAACCTAAAAAGTATAAAAACCACAGAGATAGGAGTTACTCTCCTGTAGCCATTTGTGTTTTTTTAGCATTTTCAGGATTCTGTACATTTGGTTAATTAGTTTTTTCCCTATTTATGGAATGGAGCCACACATGAATGGATACTCTGTGGAAATGATTACTGTGATATATTAGTGTACACTATTGTGGCCTTAGTAGCAAATATGGATTGCCAGCTTTGTTAATCTGTCAAACTGAGAATGCAGGAAAGTGGTGATCCTTTCCAGTTCCTGCACACATGGAAGTTTCTGTTAGCAGGACAACTAGTGATATAGTTAATAAGAGCAAAAACTTAAGTGTCCCATTACTGGCCATCCAAACAGAAAAATATCTAGCCATGCCTGGATGGGAATTAATAATACTGAAAAATGTAATCATTATTTGGCCCTAAAGTTAACACCCTGTTCCAATGAACTCTTCACATCTTAGATATATTGCTTAATGCTGTTTGTTAGCAGATGCAGTGGCACTGTTGGCAATCCATTCAGAAGCCAGTCTCTGTAATTATTATTGGCAGAAGCTAACACCGTATGAGAACAAGGGAACACCTGCAAAATAAATGCCTATATAACCTGCATTCAAGTACCAGCTCTGTCCAATTTACAAGAACCATATTTTACATAAAGTTCTCAGCACACACAGATGAGTTGCAGGGCCTTTATAGCTGACAAAGAATGAGGCCCCTGGACTATGTCCATCAGTGTTAGCCATCAGCTTATGACAAACCAATGTCCATGGCCCTCCATCTTCTTCTGTGAAGGGAGTCAGCCAGCATCACAGTGTCTACTATGGTGAGTCAATAAAAATAACGCCAATTATAAGGGTGCCTAATGTCAATGCAGATTAACATTTCAGTGAAGAATTCTCTCAAAGATATTAGTGTCAAGTCACTGGTGTCACATAAAAGATGAATGTGGCTAAGTATGTCAAAGCACCCCAAACTGAGAGCCTGATAGTAATCTAATCCAAGAGAATAATGGAAGGTACGTACTGCTCTGGCTGCTAATGTAATAAGGATTCCAGTGAGGAATGTAAAATAATATCCAGGGTAGATGCCATGCCACAGGGCTGACAGGATAAAAGTTAAAGCTGTAGGGTGAAATGGAGCCCTGTCATAGCAAACACTGGAAAGAAACAAACAGAAAACAACAGTTTGAATAAACAACACCTATACGCTGCAACTCAGTTCTCCTTGTAACTTAAAAATCACACAGAGCTCACTTATATGAAAGGCTTCTTGGTCTTGCAAAACTCCATTTAAACAAATGTCAATAAGGTTACTTGTGACAGTGAAGCATGCTCTCATCCTCAAGTTTTTAGCTCTGAATAGGTTCTCATTCACTTTTTACTGTGTCAGATGCATGGAATTCGTCATGGCTATTGAGGAACATGCAGAATATTCAAGCAAAGGTAGGTGGATGAAAGTAACAGTAACTTACTGTACAATTTAAATATTCCTTAGGCAGCAATCCTAGAGACAAAGAGGAGCCTTAGCTTGTGTAAACCAATGGGCCTATGATGATTTGCAGCAGCTAAGGATGTGGCGCAGAAGACACTTGCGAGCATAGTTTAGAAACATGCCAATAGGACCCAAAAACTCTTTCATTATCTCACTTTTAACTTTAAACCTAGTAGTCCAAAAATGGCTCAAGACAGCTTACTGAACTAAAAAGTGTTATATTTACTTCTCTCACAAAGAAATGTAAAAAAAATAATTTTAAAAGTATAAATATTTATAGTGAATGCAGTTCTGATGACCATCATATGAACTCCTGTGTCAACTGAATTCACACTAGACTTTACTCATACCAAAGGCATTGATTGAGCTACACCATTTGAATTGTTTTTATTTATACAGAGCCACAGTTGGGTTGATCTGAAACCAGATACCCCAACATTTAAGGGAGTTGACATATCATGTTCCAAATGGGATTACTATACATTTTCAAATTAGCATCTACATCCCTAGGAGACTGATGTCCAAAAAGAAAGTAGGCTGAAGCTATGAAGTTTGAATCTGGATCCAAGCTTTCAAAAACTCCAAAAGGAGAGGGCATTCAGATGTAAATGATATAACTCACCATGTCTCCAAGAACATTTAATTTATTTCCAATGCAAGTAAGAGGCAAAATATGTAGCGAATAATACAGATGGATAATAAAAATAAAATTCCCAATTGTGGAAGTGCTATTAAAATGTTATTGCTTCCCAACTAGGAAGGCCTCCTAAGCTTTTGCTTTTTATGGACAAATATGGCTATTTCACATTCATTAGCAATAAAAAAAAATATAGCACCAGAAACACTGTAGCGCTTTCACATAATACACATGCCCACGGAGAGATGAGAGGCCATGAGGTGGTACATTTATCAGATTCACTGGCCAGGGGTCATAACTGTTCACTACTGACCATTTGGAAGTATCTGGGTCTTACAAGTAACAGTTTTGTTATTCTCACCGCTTCAGCCAGGCAGCTGTCTGAATGTTCCAGTTCTCAAGGTACACCTTAAAACTTGTTGCAGTCTAGGAGAGAAGAAAGGTAACATCTAACATTGATTTCTGAACATGTGGAATTACGCTAGTCTCTACCTGAATTTTACACAGAGGTTCATATGCAATACACTAGTAGTAGAAGCTAGCTATAATTAAGATCGTGTCAGCATTTCCATATTACACTAGTATGTTCTAAGGTTTTGTAGGGCCAACCTGCAAATCACTCATGGCTGACAACTGCTACTTACTTCAAAATCTCACTCAGTATTATGTTATATTAGAACCAAGTAAAAAAAGTTTAGTTATATTTCAGAGTATGGGAAAAGCCAAAAAGGTTTTTGGATCCAGATGTTCACTTCCCTTGAGTCCTTTCCTGTAGCTCACAAACAACTTAATTCTAAAAACAGATCTCTCACTGTCTCTTAGATGGGCTGGACATCCCTATTGTGGTATGAAAACAGAACGTACTTGGAAGACTATAAGGAATGCCTTATTATTTCATCAGAACTGGTTCCTAAGAAACACTGAAAAGTATTTTTAGTCCTTAGATTCAGGGCCAGGGCCAGGGCGTAGTTTACTGAGGAACACTTAAACACTGCCAAGACTACCATAACTCATTAATTCAATAGTCCTGGTTCACTCTACATGTAGCTTTCCTGTGCCTGCAGGTCTACAGGGTTCCATCCAATACAAGATCTTTCCTCACAAATCTGTCCCACCTCTGCTTGTGCCTGGCCCCTTTTGTGCTGCCAAGCTTAGCAGTTCTGATCCATGCCTTGCAGAGGATAAGTAACAGCTGGACAGCTCCCCAAACTCAAGTGCCCCACTGATGTGATCCAGTTCTCTTGCCTGGATCATTTACTGCACTGTTAGAAACCGCAATTACAATTAACACAATTAGAAACATTTTCCCCATTGCACTCACCAGTATAATCCCTAAATCATCACAAAAATATAGTTTCAAGAATGATAAAGGAAGCCCACGGAGCCATTGGATCCAGCCCGCAGAGCCACTGGATCTGGCCCGCAGGAATAGGAGCTTCGGCAGCATTTGGAAGTTGGAGGACTTCACAAGTGCTATGCTGTGGCCAGTAGCTTTGCCCATGCTTTACCATGGCTGGCAAAAGAAAGCAGCAGCAGTGGAGAGAAAGAGTGGTTGCATCAAGCAGGTTCCAGCACCGGCCCACCTTGGATCCAAGCTGACTGCTGGAATGACTTAGCAAACCCCCAGTCTAATGGATCACTAATACATAACAATCAACATCTCCTTAAGCAGCTAAATAGCCAACATTGAAATTTAAACAGCAAGATACTGTGTTGGAATGGATTTAAGACAAAGATATTAAGGTAAAAAAAAAAAGCAGCAAAAACAAGGATACTCAGAGTTCAGACTGAAAAGGCCAGCTGTAATGCACCTTTTGTGTTTAGAAGTCACACGGATTTCTAAACAGTGAGTAATCTAACACATCATACCTGTTGCTAAGCCTTAGGAAAAAAATCACCGATTTCAGGAGGAAATTCTGCTTTGTCTGTTTAGTCCCAATTCAAGGTTTATTTATTTATTGTAGTCACCTCATGATTTTGTGTAATGAGAACCATATCCTGGGAGGGAAACTTGCTCCCAAAACTGTCCAACTGAATTGCAGCTCATTTTCCTGGCACCAAAGGTACAAAAATGTAGACAACAGTCTCAGTCTAATTTTCATCTGCTTTGAGTTGATAACCTAATGCAAAACCTGAACAAATCTCAAAAGGCTTTGTTTGCTGTGTTTCATTAACAAAGAAGCCTCTTTACTCCTTGTTGCTTCAGTGCCTGTGTGAAGTACGGCCCAAATTAAAATGAGTGAGAATCACCCTTTGAAATAATCGGACAGAAACTCTGAAGTGCTCGCAGTCAGAGATTCTTAATCTGAACTCTGTAGCACTGCAAGAGATCTCTAAAGACTTTCTGGCTGAATATGCAAAGCACATGAGAATGTACTCTGTACTGTAGATCAAAAGTCCCCCTCAGGATTGGGCCGCTAATGCAACAGGTATATATAACAGGCTCTTTTGAAGCTCACAGAGTTTTTAGAGAGAGATGAAGAAAGACCACATTGTAATAAGGAAGGATAAAGGAGCCCAAACAGACTATCCGTGTTTTTGCATCTCTATAGAAGACTGGAAGTCGGTGCAATCATCCTATGTGTCTTCACAGCTATGAACCCTAACTGACAAACACCTGCGCTACAGCATCAGGTAGGAGCCAGGGAACTCAGCCCCTTTCCCTTTCAGTAGTGTCTTTTTTCATTTGGCAAGCATTGATAGTCCCCCTCCTTCACCAGTCTTCCAGAAGAATGACCAAGTGAGCTGTCCAAATGAAATACTTCCTGGCAGGTTTTTACTTAAGTCATCCTCACTTCCTTGGCCTTCTTCCATCACCCCCAACTTCCCTAAAAACACTTCTTTATAAACAGGTTTCCACCTACACTGAGTATAGCTTCACCTGGCCAGGAACTAATGGTGACAGGAGCAGTCACAGATAGCACTCTCCTCAGAGAAACTCCCATTCTGCCTTTACACCTGAAAGGGACCACTACTGTTTAACACACAGCTTCTAAAAGTCCTTCCAAAAGAGGCCTAAAGCAAGGGTGGAATGAAGAACAAGGAGGAATGAGGAACAGAGAGCTTCCTTCCTCTTCCTAGCCTGGACAAGCAGTGTTCCTTCCTCTCTGACTGGTGCAGTGAGCACTGTGATTCTTCTTTCAAGCTATTTTAGGAAATCCCTGATACGGTCCTGGGCCGTTGCAACTAAGGCTGATTCAGTCTGAAGTTGGCTACAAATGGAAAGCATTTCTGTGCTTCACGAAAGGAGGAAAAAAACCAAAACACTCCAGGACAGAGAGAAAGATGCAAAGCTAACTGGTTTAGAAAAGTACAGAAATAAAATGATAACATGGAGATATATAGTGATGTCCCAAATTTTGGTGACATGTGGGGTGGGAGGGGTGCCTCAACATTCAGAGATGAACACTATCAGAAGGTGCTTGGCTCTGACAGTTCACTAAACTACTACATAGCCCTTTTAAATCATGAGCAATGAAGTAGTGAGGGAGAGTTCCTTGTATTTATACAAAAATAAATCTTTGGAAGGAGATATTTCAGACTCCTTTTTACTTTCACATACCACCGACACTCAGAAGATATTCCAGGGCAAACAAACTGGAAATACTGTATATTGGTCATATTTCATATAAAGGGTATAATTATAAATAGTTTGTAAAGGGCTAGTTGATGTTGAAAGTATGTTATAGGCATGAGAAGTATGTATTATAAACATCTAAGAAACAACAGTTTGGTGGAGAAACTACCAGACTAGAAGTCACTCTTAATCCTATTTTTGACCTTGTCACTGACCTACTCTATGATCTTGGATAGGTCACTTTTCTACATCTCCACTAACCTAGTCCACCCTTTTTTAACCTGTTTAGAATAACCATTCTTTTAGGCAGAGACCCTAATCTCAACTCGGGCCTCAAGGGACTTCTACACAAGCAGGAAATTGTGAAAAGAACTTAATTAGAAGAAGATGCTACAGGTCAGGTGTTGTCCACCGGGGGTACTTTGGAAGGCCCCAGGCGGTACGTGGCAGCAGCACAGAGAAGCCACCAGCACTTCCGCTTTCACCACTGGCACTTCCAGGTTCACTTCTTGACTGGCTGCTGGGGCCCACCCCCCGCTAGTC